TTCACTGTTTCTCAAACACGATTTTGAGCACCTCGTATCATCCTTGACTGCTTATCTATCTCCTTCAGTTTGACACTCAGAAATGGGCACGATAGTCCAAGTGGGCACTACTTTTTAAGCTATATTTATTTTTAAAGGACCTTTTTGAAAATGAACATTCAATATAATTAAAAGATAGACATTTTAAAGCACAACATTTTCACTAAAAATTAATAAAAGATTAAAGCAGAACATTTGCTAAAGGTTATTTTAAAGAATTTTAAACGCAACATATCACACTACCAAAAATTCACTTTGATTCACATGGTCAGCCTCGCCTGACCTTACGCTAGACTGTGTTAGAAAAAAGGACCCACCTAAATGAAAAAGCAATATAATCCAGACAGGAATCGAAACTGCTCTCAAGTAGCGTTCAGTGTTCGCATTCCACTTGAATGAAACGGCCAACACATAGCCAACTACCAACGTCCAGATCTTAAATAAATGAAACATAGACACAGTTGTCAAATATATACACATGAAAATAAACATACAATTATACAGAATTTGCAAGCGTCTAGTAGCATTAGAGCTGTGGGTACAACACAGATAAGATGAAGCCCGGAGGGGCTAGAAGGAGTGTGTGAAGATCTTCCTCCTCCGTTTAGATAAATCAAGTTTTGAAATACAGGCCTTTAAAATGCCATGTAGTGGGCCGCCCCGTGGCTTAGTGGTTAAGTGCGCGCGCTCCACTACTGGCGGCCCAGGGTTCGGATCCCGGGCGCGCACCCACGCACCGCTTCTCCAGCCATGCTGATGCCACGTCCCACATACAGCAACTAGAAGGATGTGCAGCTATGACATACAACTATCTACTGGGGCTTTGGGGGTCGGGGGGGAAGGAGGAGGATTAGCAATAGATGTTAGCTCAGAGCCGATCTTCCTCAGCAAAAAAAAAAAAAAGAGGAGGATTAGCATGGATGTTAGCTCAGGGCTGATCTTCCTCAAAAAAAATAAAATAAAATCCCATGTAGTGATATTATTCAAATATTGTTAACAAAAACTACATAAATATAGTTTTAATTTATGTTAAAGTTCAAAAACTATTGTATGCATAAAGGTATTTAAGATAAAATATTCAATTTCTAAGCCATGGACTTAAGACCTTAATCTTGTGGAATTCTTAAAGTTTTCTCTATAGATTAATGTTTAGAAAAGAAAAGGCAAGCCTTCTGAAAAGAATCACTTTAAAAGATTCATTGGAGCCTATGAAATATGCCTGCTACTGTGAAAAGAAATTTTTAAAAACTAGAAAGAAGGCAGCCAGCTGAAGCGTGACACTGCTAAAATAATCTGGGCAACAGAGGGTTAGAACCTCGTCCAGAGTTACAGGCACAGTTGAAGAAGCGTAGCTGAAAAAAATATTACTAAAGGAAGAAACAGCAAGACCTGAGAACAGAAGAACCAGCCAGAGTCCCTTCCTCAGTTTTCCTGACACTAAAACTAAATGACTCTAGTACTTACAAAGCATCAGTGTGGCCTAATCGGAAACTCTCTAATAACCTCGTATTTTAATATTTTAACATTCACACAAGATGGAAGGAATACATAATCCAGAACAAATGTGAGCACCAAGAACTTACCAAAATAACCTGAACCTTGAGGGGAAAAAAAAAGGCGAATTAAAACAAAAAAAAACCTTTGATTCAGAGAATGAAGAAAAAAGAACTGATATGATTACTACAAAAGACAGTAAAAAACTACCTCCTACTTTATTTTGGTCCTATCAATAAAAATAGTCTTCAGGTCTTAAAAATGTTTATAGCTTCTGACCTGACAATTCAGCTTTGGAACCTCACTAAATAATGATAAATTCTGAAAAAGGTTTAAATATAAAGAAGCTCATCAGAGTGTAATTTAGAAGAGTGAAAAGTTGATAACCTATAAGTTCAACAACTGTGAAGTGGTTAACTACGGATGATTCACTCAATAAAATGTTATGCAACCATTACAATAGGTTGTTTTAAAACAAAGACTAAATAATTAAAAATACCTCTGAGATATTATTAAAGAAAAAGCAAAATACAAAAAATTCATAAGACATGATTATATCTATTGCACAGTGGGGGGAAAAGGAAGTGTACTAAGAAGTTAGTGGGTGTATTTGGGTGGTAAGATTTTGTTTTTCCTTCTGCAGTTTTTCTGTATTTTCAAAACTGCCTTTAATGAGCACTAATTCTTTTACAATGAAAAGGATATTAAAATATTCTTCTTCAACCAACTCTATTAGATGAAATATTCAAGAGATCTTAAGCCCCAGATATATGAGCACATGGGAAGTGAGACTACAGCTGCATCAAAAGGGTTCAAGCTTGCAGGAGCACACAAATTTAACCCTGGGAATTCAGAGAATTTGAGATATGACTGTAGAGCTCAGAACAAAATCTGAGTATAATAACAGTACATTTATATAACACTTACTGTAGGCCAGGCCCTGTTCTAAGACTTTATATATGTGAACTCATTTAATCCTCATAACCCCAGGAAATAAGTACTATTATCATCCCCACTTTACAGATGAAAGAAACTGATACTTCAGAGAAGTGACTTGCCCAATGTCATACAGCTAAAAAGTAACATAGCTAGGATGAGAACCCAGGAACCTGGCTCCAGAGTCTGCTTTCTTAACCATAAAGAGAAAGAAGGGTGGTGCTAGAAAAATAAAGAGGAAAAGCTGCTCCAATATTCACAAGGGAAAATATTCACAGTTCATTTGGGAAACAACAAATTGTTGAAATAAAAATAATCCTCAGTAAATAGATGGTCTTCAGTGGACTACAGAGGTAATTAGTCCCACCCTATTAAACATTAAGTCAGTAATTTAAATGAAAGACTAGAAGGCATATTAATCGAACTCACAGATTACACAAAATTGGTAACAGTCAATAAAAATTGAGATGACTATAATGATTCAAAAAGATATCCTGAAGCTAGAACAATGGGCTAATTCAAATAAGATTACATTTAACAGAGAGAAATGCAAAGTTCTACTTTTAGGTTCAAAACTTAACTGTACAAGTACAGAATGGGAAGAGGACAGCTAAGCTACTCTTCAGTTTGAGTCAGGGGTATAACCGGTGTGAGTGCCTATTAATAAAAGTACAACACCCATAGCAGGGAAAGTGATTGTTTCACTGAATTTGTATCAAACCATATCAGCAATAAAATTCAGACTGGGAAAGGAAATGGAAATCACCACATACAATATACAGATATGGCTGGAAAAAACCAACTGTTTAGCTTAGAAAAGAGAAGGAAATATCAAGATTTGATAGCTATCATCAAATAGCTGGGAAAATGTCATCTGGGAGAGGCATTAGACAATTTTATGCAGTTCTGAGGGCAGAAGTAATAGGTGGGAATTAGGAAGCTACACATTTCAGCTCAATATGAGGATAAGTTTTTCTAACAAACTATAGTAGTATAAAAATTGAATAAGCTTACCACTACTAAAAGTGTTTGAGCAAAAGCTGACCATAGTCAGGGATGACAAAGTAGGAGAGTCTGCCCTCAGTGAGAAGCTGAACTACAGGATCACAAAAGGTATATACTTTCAGATTTTAAGCCTATGATATTTTTAAACCAATCTCCAGGAAGTGGTTCTTATCTGTACTCATAAGGAATTAGTATCACTTGCAGGGAGAGAAAAAATAAGAGACTGCATACTTCAGATTTTTTAAGGGAAACTCATGGTCTAAAGAAAGTCCTGTTTTCACCAAGTAAACCAGCAACTCACAAATAACCTCAGCTCACTTTAAAATAACCGCTCATTAAATATTTTCTTCAATTCCACTTCTAGGAATTTGGTTTACAGAAGCACCACACACTATGCAGATAGATATAAAAATGTCCACTGTGGCAGTTTAAAATATTAAAAAATTGATAACCTAAATTGATAACCTAAATGTCATTTTATAGGGGACTGTTTAATAACAGTATCTCCCAAAATGGAATAATTATTCAGACTATCAAAGGCATTATGAATATCTATGTTCAATGACACAGTATAAATTTATGCATGTGTAAATTTATAACAGTGAAAATATACTCACCAAAACCTTAAAAAAATATTATCTCTAGATGGTTGGATTTCAGGGGATAACTTGCTTCTTTATGCTTTCCTTCAAGTACTGAATTTTCTCCTAAGAGTAGTATTATCTATATAAACAGTAAATTTTTTTTTCCCCCCCCAAAGCCCCAGTAGATAGTGGTATGTCATAGCTGCACATCCTTCTAGTTGCTGTATGTGGGACGCGGCCTCAGCATGGCCGGAGAAGCGGTGCGTCGGTGCATGCCCGGGATCCGAACCCAGGCCACCAGCAGCGGAGCACGCGCACTTAACCGCTAAGCCACAGGGCCGGCCCTAAATGTTTTTAACTTTAAAAAAAAAAACCTCTTGGCTTATGGATTTTTTTCTTCATTTGAAGTGTTTCCTCAGAAAAGATTCACAGGATATTATTAGTTCAAAAAGTATGGCCATTTATAAAAACACTTTAGAGTGTCTATTAAAACCATTATGATTATACAATTACCAATGTCTAAAAATGTTTCTCAGATTATCCTAATACAAATTCAGAGCTAAAATAATCTGGTAGGAACGCTTTCTAAAAGGCATCTAAAAAAAGTTTTTATACTACAATACTATTAAAAAAAAGAAGTATTTCCCTAAGTGCTAACAAGGAAAGATGTTCACAATACGGTGATAGATGAAAGCATGATGTAGAGTTTATATGCTATCCCATTTTTGTTTTAAAAAATAAAACCTATACTTCATATGTTCACATAGGCATAGAAATAAATTTAGAAGGGTATTCATCAGTTAACAATAGAGACATCTACACAGGGGGAATGGTGGCAGAGAAGAGACAACGATTCACTTTTACCACATAAACTTCTATTCTGCTTAAATTGTTTTTTATATAACAAGCATGTTTTACTTGCGTCAAGTTTTTAAATTGCTAAATATTCTTTAAAATAACTTGCTGAAAATAAGGATCTGTACATTCAAATTTCATGGATTTTGTATGGATTCCTAGAAGTGTGCCTTTAAGAGAGTTTTTTATTTCTTTCTCTCTGTCTCTCCCTCTCTCCCGGAAAGATACGTTTAGCCTCTGAGCAAATCTTCAAGTATGAATTTTTTCCCAGGCATAAACCAATGAGACACAGTTTATACATAAGGCATACTTTCCCAAATTGATGTTCTTCAAAACAATGTGTCCTTTTCAAAATATTCAATACTCATTTTAAAGCACTAATGTGTGCGAGATACTATATAAGACCCTACATAAAAGGTGGCAATATTTACTTAGCACTACAAGTAAAGCAAACTAATAATCATATTTTCTTTTCATTTGACTTATTAACCACATATATGTTTCTGATTAAACAAAATATTAAATGCATAAAGCTTAAGTAGACTTTGCCTTTTAGACTATGTCTTTATTTCAATTTATTGTCATCTGGGCATTAACTGGAGAAACAACTTGGCTTTCTTCTGTTGCATGTTTGTGCGAAATAGTTTCCTAAGTCAAAATGACAGACTCCTTCCCAAGTTACCGAGCCACAGCCCCCATCAGTGATGGCTTCAGGTACTTCATTCCCCTTTAAAACAGCATAACTCTAATTTGAAAACTGTTGTCTTTGTAGTGTGGTAACTTAGAGTCAAGAATCTTTTATAATCAAAGTCTGTGAGAAAAAATCTAAGCACTGGAAACTTTCCTCCTTACTGTTGCCAGGCAAGCAAAAACACACCTAGAAAAAGGTTCAGAAGTGGAATGGAGTAGGCCTGGCTGGCTAATGTACACTTCCTAAGAGCCTCTTGGGCAGTAGTGCCAAACTCAGGATCTGTAAAACTGAACATCAAGGGACCCTAGAAATCATCCAAGCCAACCCCACACTTCACACAACTGGGGTTGAACAGCCCAGAGAAGGTCCTTGGTCTGTCCAAGGTCACAAAGCAAGTTACTGACAGAGCTCAGCTTAGAATTTACAGACTTCTCACCTTTCAGCTACTATTCTTTCCACCTTACGCTTCTTTATAAAGTAAAATGGAAACAATGGGATCAGAGACCACGGAGAAAAAGCAAATCTACAACTACTGCAAAAATTGTAAACAGTCTTCAAATTTTCTAACAAGCCTGAACTAACAGAGACCAAAACACTCCCAGCAAAGAAAAATGGCGCGGGGTGGGGGGTGGGGGGCATTAGCTTTTCAGATTTGACAACTCTACACCACGGGAAGATGCCAAGGACCCTAAGGACTGAGCCACAGGTGAGCTTGGTGCAACAGATGATTTTTTTTAAGTGTTTAGAAATCACTTACTAAGTCAGTACAACATTCTAATATAGTTGAAACTGTGTAAAAAGAATTACTCAGACCATAAATGATTAGTTTCTCACTTGAAAGCAGGATGGGGTGTTAGGAGGAGATTAGATGCAAGGAAAAGACTAAGGAGACTGAAGTAACCCAAAAGTGGGGTGAAAAGGAACAGAACCGTAAGGATAAACCAGTATCAAAGGAAAATACGGGTACTGAAGTCACTAAAGGAAAACTGGACAGGACTTGGAAGTAACTGAACAGATACAAGGAGAAAAGAGAAGAAAACATGGCTAAGGTTTCTAGATGACTAGAATCCAGGGGTCTTTGGGGGAACTTGTGTGGTTGGTCCAATCCTGATATTCTTCTATTTTTTTTCCTAATAACTAAAATCAATTTATTCAAAAAAAAACTAAACTAAAAAATTTAAACAACGTACTGGGGTAAAACTTTTTAAAATCCTTATTGGTTTTCATAACAAAGGGACCTCAACTGCTGACTGGTCTCTTGAATACCATTTACTGATAGAACAAACAGATCAATCTCTAAATCGGTCTTCTCACCTATGAAATCCCTCCCTCCTACTTCACAGGATTGTTGTGAGAATGAAATCACACACATAACAGCACCTAATCTGGTGTTTGGCACACAATAGATGCTCAGAAGTTGGATCTTAAAGGTATGAATTGTCAGCTCTCCAAAATGTAGATTTGCTTCAACGTAACTTTTCCCCCTGCCTCTCCTATCTACACCTCTCTTCAGCAGTAGGCCCAAATCTACAAGTTGTCTAGAAAGCATCAAGACTTTTCCTATGTAGACTGTTTCCACTTGGGCTCACAAAACCAAACCTGCTGTGAACTAGGAGATAGGAAAGTTACAGCGTGGGCCCCCTGCCGGGTCACATGACCTGATTTCACTTCATGTCAGGCCTTAATCAGCACCTTTGGCTGAGAGCTGAGGACTCCCTGTCTCTGCTTCCCAGGTACACCTCACCCTATCTAACCACCCACCCCTAAGTGCTGCTTCAAAGACACAACTATAAGCTTTGTTTCTCTCCAACTCAGATCAACCTCCAGGCTCTACTCCTTCACTTTAGCCCCTCTACCACTCTCTACTCACTTCTAAGGAACTCATACTGTCTCTCTTATAATGGGCTTTTTACCCCTTCCTCTTCTCCCTTGCCTCCACCACTTTACCCAAACAGCTGAGTTTCAAGCCTTTTTTTTGGGGGGGGGGGGGAGAGATCAGTCCTGAGCTAACATCCACACCAATCCTCCTCTCTTTGCCAAGGAAGACCGGCCCTGAGCTAACATCCATTGCCAATCCTCCTCCTTTTTTTTCCCCAAAGCCCCAGCAGATAGTTGTATGTCATAGCTGCACATCCTTCTAGCTGCTGTATGTGGGACGCGGCCTCAGCATGGCCGGAGAAGCTGTGCGTCGGTGTGCACACCGGATCCGAACCCCGGCGGCCAGTAGCAGAGCGCGCGCACCCAACCGCTAAGCCACGGGGCCGGCCCTCAAGCCTTTTTATAATCATTCATTGGCTTGACCTTCCTCTCTTCTTCTAATCAACTTTGGCCCTTCTTTTCTGTTCATCCACAACCCATACAAGGGTATCTAAGTATACAAAGATAAGAGTTTATCTTCAGTAAAAAGCTACTCAAGGCGGGGCCGGCCTGGTGGTGCAAGCGGTTAAGTGCACACACTCCACTGTAGCGGCCCGGGGTTGGCCGGTTTGGATCCCGGGTGCGCACTGACGCACCGCTTGTCAGGCCATGCTGTGGCGGCGGCCCATATAAAGTGGAGGAAGATAGGCACAGATGTTAGCCCAGGGCCAGTCTTCCTCAGCAAAAAAAGAGAAGGATTGGCAGATGTTAGCACAGGGCTGATCTTCCTCACAAAAAGAAAAAAAAAAGATACTCAAAGCTATCTATATACATCCAGCTGCCGGCACTTCTTCACAAGTATTCAATTCCTCATCTCTTTCTACTGAGAAAGACAGGAAGAAATGCCTCATTTTCCACTAATCATACCAATTTACCCATGTATTCAACTTCTTACTCTAGTATGAAAATACGCTATTCAGATATGTTAGGCTTTTCTTTACTAATTTGCTACAGTTTAGTGGATATGCTTCTTGGTCCGGCCTACACTAATTTACAGTAAATTGCAGCATCAACAGTCAAAAACATTAGCAGAATCTATAAATGTGTCTGACTTTGACAAGACTGAATTTCTTGAGGATAGGAATCAAGTCATAGCAGTCTTTACATTTTTTAACAGTATACAGTATTCTGCCTTCTACGTAAGAGGCATTCAATCAACTTAATTGAATTGAGAAACAAGGTAAGGGAGAAATAACACTGAACTGGGACTCCACAAATGTGAATGCAGATTTGTTCACAGTCTGAGTGAGTTTGGGACAATCACGTTCTCTGGCCCTCAGAAACCTCTCCTGAAGAGTGGCAAGCATCAGGCAGTAAAGTAAATTAATTATAGGATCACTTTCCCTTGTCACTCTAGCAAGCCCCAAGAGTGAGAGAAGGTGATTCCACATTCCTCCCTCTTACTACAATTGAAAGAGCCCAGGCCTCTCTGAGGCCAAGGCTTCCATCTGACCACTTAACAATGTACACACAGGCAGCATCCCACAATTATAGATGAGGTGCTGCCCAATAACTTACTGGCCCATAATTGGTGGGTAATGAACATTAATCTGTCTGTCATCTCCATGAGAATACGCTCACATATGATTATATGCATCTTCAAGACAGCCTGCATCATACTCCTTTTAAATCCCTCACAAAGCCCAGTACCTAACAACATAATCAACTTTTAACTTGAACTGAGAAGTGGTATTGATAGAACAAGAGAAGACAGGAGTTCTGTGATCAATCATCACTGTACCAATAACCTCAGGCAAGGCAAAACCCTGCTTGACAGATAAGGGGAATTATCTTGCAACTTGATGTCAAGATGCATTGAACATGGAGAAAAGTGAATAAAGTTATTTTTAAATGGTACTGTTTGTTGATGAATTAGCATTCTTATGCACTAAATATCCACTTGTTTTTAACAGTTCCCAGTTAAATATCTGTATAAGTAACTAGTCTACAATCTGGTCTGAGTTAGGAAATGTGTCACTAGATTACCTTTGAAATCCCTTCCAATTATAAAGCTCCTTGACTTTCCATGAATAAGCTCAGGGTGATCCAAGAATCACAAATCTACTTCACCCCAGTCTGCTGAAGTAATCCAGGCGGGAGGAGATGTACCGTCCAACATAAGCAGTTCCCAAGAAGTAAAGCATGACGAGGAACAGGCCCAGGTGGCTCAGCTCCGCCACAAAGTATACTGAAATCACCTGAACTGAGAGGCAGCCCCGGACTATTAAGAAAGCTTTGTTTTAGAACTTGAGAAACTTGAGTCAACTAGTCCCCTCTTTGTCCCTAACTAGCTGTAGTCTGGTAAGAAGTCACCTCTCCTATGTGTGGGATGGCAGGCTGGACTAGAATCCCTAAGGTCCCTTCCAACTCTGACATTCAGAAAAGTCCCCCGCGAGCAGAACTGAAGATGGCCGAGCACCCCGTCTCGCTGACTAGGAGTAAATTCAAGTCCACCTGCTGATACGGAACAGCGATTCTCATCAGGGGACACATCCCCCCAAGAGGGTCTATTAGGATGAGGGCGGGGGACAGGGAGGCTGTTTCAAACCACACCCGCTTTCTCTTTGGAATGAAGTGCGCCAAGTTCCTCAAGTGCATGAGAAGGAAGGTGGAGACTGACAATCACTGCCGCCCAGGTGTGGACCTTTGGTCGCCCTCGCGCAGCGAAGACGAGCTGCAGGACCGCACCCCAGCGAACTGGGGGCGTGGTGGAGGGTACTGCATGCCCGCCGGGGCCACGGAGGGACTCGGCGACGGCCCGGGCCGCCCCCCACTCACCCACAGGCTGCTGAAGTAGTCCAGCCCGCGGCAGATGAGCGCGCCGGCGTGGGCCAGCAGCACCTGCACGCCCAGGTAGCTCCCCAGGCTGTAGAGGCCGTAGAGCAGCGGGCCGCCGGCGCCGAGCAACAGCAGCAGGCGGCGGCGGCGCAGCGCCTGCTCGCCCAGGGCCTCGACGCCGTAGTCGGCGAAGCAGAGCGGCAGCAGCAGCGCGGCCAGCACGATGGGCGTGTGCGCGCGGTGCAGGCGCTGCAGCCAGTGGCGACCCAGGCGCGTGAGCGAGCTCTTGAAGGGGTGCAGGAAGGTGCCGCACAGCACGGCCCACAGCAGCGGCCGCAGGAAGGCCTCCAGGATGAAGTAGACGAGCACGGCGGCGCCGCAGCACAGGCACACGAACAGCACGGCCCCGGTGTTGTAGAAGGCCTGCTTGATGGGCTTGTCGAAGCGCAGCGCCAGCGCCGCCGTCCGCGGGGTCTCCCCGCAGCCGCCGCCCGGCCCGACCGTGCTTGGGACCTGCGGCGCCCGGGCCGGGGAGCCCCGCGGACTGGGCGCCTCAGCGGAGGCGGAACTCCCACCGCCGTCGTCGGCCATGGTGCTTCTGCCGCCGCCGCCGCCGCCGCCGAGAGGCGGTACGGGAAAGCTGGGCAGGAGCCGCCGGCGAGAGGCAGGGCGGGCGTCGCGTGGCGTTGTGGGAGTTGTAGTTCCTAGCTGGCCACCGACCTCTTGCTGGACCTTTGGGGAACTACCACTCCCAGAAAGTATAGGTGGAGAGCCTTCGCCCCCGGGCTCCCTTAGCCCATTGGTCCCTGCAGGATCCAGGTAACGGGTTTCTGGTCTCAACAACTTACAAGAGGCAAAGGGAAAAAAAAAAAAAAAAAAAAACTCTCTTCGCCGCACTGGTTAATGTCAACTTTTCCGGAGGTGGAATCCCGAAAGAGGCACTACACTCACATGTTAATAACTCAGGCTGTACATTAGAATCCCGCGGGGGAGTAGTTGTAAAAGACCGATCCTCAGATTCTATTTTATTGATTTATTTAATAAACAAAGTGTTTGGTGTATTTGGCAGGATTTTAAATAGCGATTACCATATGGCAGGCCCTGTTCTAAGTGCCTCATTCCCATTAACTCATTTAATCCTTAGAACATCCTTACGAAGAAGGCGATATTATTATCCCCACTTTACAAAGAGGAAAACTGAGGCACAGAGAAGGTAAGTAGCTTGCCAAGGTCACACAGCTAGTAAGTGGCAGAGGCAGGATTCAAACTCAGAGTCTGGCTCCAAAGTCTATATTCTGACCTACTATGCTATTTGATCTGACAGGGGATCCTTTGGCCTATTTTTTAAAGCTCCTCAGAGGACTGTAATGTGCAGCAACTGTTGACAAGCATTGGTGCAGGTGTCAGTGTGGGAGCAATCTAAACTCCTGAAAGAGCTCTAGATCAGAGTCTCAAACTACAATTGTTTCTTTTTGAGACCTGGAGTCAGGTCAATCAAGCCCCCAACCCAAATTTTCCCTCTATGACATGGGAACGATAACAATAGAAGCTCTTGTCTCAGGGTTGTGTGAAAAAGAGGAAGCTCTGGGGGAGTGCAAGGTGCTTCTGTTCTCCATTTGGAAAGATCCTGGGATCCAAGCCAACTACTCATAAAATACTTCAAACAGATTTTTAGTTTTTAAAAAAGAAGAAAGAAGGAAGGAAGGGAGGAGGGGGAGGGAAAGCAAGCAAGCCATTAGTGAATATCAATATGTGAGTGCTTTGAAACCCTGCAAGCTGTCCATGTTCTATTTTCAATGAGTTTTCCTATTAATTTCAACATAATTTTTGTTTCTCTTCTAAAGTAGACAGGACAGGTATCCTTATGCACAGTTTTCAGATGAAGAAACTATTGCTTACTAAGACTTGGAGACTAGGGGATTCAGTAAATAAAGTAAATGAAAAAGTAATTCCTTTCCATCTTGTTTTTAGATTTCAGGTCACAATCCTTGTTTTTCTTTTTTTTTTTGAAACCAGGAACTTTTTTTTTTTTTTTAAGATTTTATTTATTTATTTTTTCCCCCCAAAGCCCCAGTAGATAGTTGCGTGTCATAGCTGCACATCCTTCTAGTTGCTGTATGTGGGACGCGGCCTCAGCATGGCCAGAGAAGCAGCGCGTCGGTGCGAGCCCGGGATCCGAACC